ACAAAAAATTCACATTCGTGGATGAAAACAAAGGAATGATTTGATTTATATTCATTCCCCAACAAATGATTATGCTCGAGAGTCGAGAATTATAAGCATTCTTGTGATGAGAGAGGAATATTTTCGAATTAAGCTACACAGCAGGAGAGGAAAAGAATGCGTATAAACTGTGTCCGAATCATAATTTTTTTCAGAAGAGTAAACATTTCTATTTCCACACCTTCATCCACGAATCGCTGCTCACTGAGGCAATCCTATGATTCACAGACGTATTTGTCAATGCAGAAACTATACCATCATGCGCACGATGGGTCCAAATTTTGCCGCCATCCATTGGATTCCAGATTTGAAGTGACTGCAAATTAAGCACTTACTAAATTCGAAATGACGATGTTCGATGAAGTTTAATACAGAAAATATATGTAACACATCGCAGCACAAGACGAAGATCAATGGCCAAGACTAGTGAGTACACGGTAAGAACAATCAGAATACTGTAAAAGGAAACATTTCATACCCGGTATGAACCAATGGCCAGGACTAGTGAATACACGGGATGGAACGTACAGGACACAAACATATTTTCACTGGACTGCAACTGATGCACGGATTTTCCGCCTGCTTCAATTGACCATATGCACGCACAATCTTCACTGATGGAAGCCATGTATCTGCCACTGGTATCCCAACTGGTATCCCAACACATCGAGCGAACATCTTTGGCATGTCCCTAGAAATTAAAGGGATAAACTTATGTAATATCTAACTTAATGCATGCAGGAACAAGAGTGACACATTTAGTATCTTTGATATGGAGGATTAGATAGCACTGGACGGTAGTAAGAAAGTGAAAGAAACTAAAATCTTGTTCGTCCAGTCCAATACTTTATAACAAACATGCATTTAGATCGATTCAACAATTTATATCATACCTCTAACTGATACTGGATGGTGCTAGTCTCAACATCAATCATATTGATAACATTTCCTGTAGCAGCAGCCAAAAGGTTCCCAGACTGAGGTTGGAATCTAACTTGTCTATTTGCTCCCTATAGCTGCACCATGGAAAAATCAGAGGTTAGAACCATCTTAAAGAATATGATATTGGGGAATTTAGATACCTTGTCTTCAGCAGTTATTATTTCTTCCATTAAGTTACTTTCATCTATGTAATAAACACTATACTTATTTGCATTCAAATTTAGATTGTGATTCTTTGCCAT